AATTTCTAACTTCGAGGAGGGTTAGAATAGAGTTTATGGGATAATTTAATTAAATAACACTAAGTTGATTGGATATATTAAAATTCATCTAAAAATAATCAAAAAAACACTAGAAAACTTGAAAGAGATTAATTTCAAATTGTAAAATTATTTTTAAGATTTATAAAGGAAATTAAATTTTTTAGATATTTATAAACTTAATTTTTCTGTACCAATTAAGAAATTTGAGTTATTAGCTAGCAAAACACATGTTAATAATTTTACATAACACCCTAAATTACAGCAATAAACTCACTTCATTTATCTTAATTAATTGAATTGAAATAATATTTTAAATTTAGAATATAATTATCAAAACTGGATTAATTTGTATTTTTAAATTATAATCAATAATAGAATAGACAATGATCTCTAACCAGGATGTTACGAGTATTTTATCTGAATAAGTTATCCATACTGAAAAAATATAAGAGTGTGAAGGTTTTACACCAAATAAGAATTATGATAAGATGTTAATCAAAAAGAAGTTTCAATTTATATTTGATAATCATAAAAAGAAAATTTTTTATATATTAGATGGAAGGATTTTTAGATGGTATTTAAATTAATAATAATTTAAGTGATTACTGTGAACCATTCGAAATAATGATGAATTTTGAATAAATTATGTATCTAAATTGGAAAGGAGATTGGAAACAAAATTAAAAGAAAAATGGAAAATTCAGAATGAAATCCGATTGTTTTCTATTTAATGGAAATACTCATTTGCAAAAGGTAATTGAATTTTTAATTACAGTCATTATTCGAAAAAACCTTAATTAAGGGTTTAAATATTATTATATTGGGTAAAATAAATGAATATAATTTTCGCTATTTCCAATGTTTTTTCCATTTATATGACAGTTTATAATGGCTATATTTAATTTCAATTGTTTTTATTTTAATCAATGCTACTTAAAAAATTTCATAGGACCAATACTTTTTCAATCAATATTTCTTTTGCAGTGTTTTTATTTTATTTAGTTTCAATACAAATAATTAGAAAAAATAAAGGAATTTGATATTCTTAATAATATTAAGATTATTTTTAAAATTTAACAAGTTTAAGGATGTTACTGACATTATTTAAATAATTTTAATTTTTGTATTATAGTTGAAACTCCAAAAAACCAAAATTTTGATAATTGTTTTAATAATTTAAAATAAAGTTGATCAGCTTTTGGATTTTTTTTGAAACTATCACAAAAGTGATACCTGTGAATAAACTTTTTGATTAAGCAATAAATCTTCGTAATAATTTAAAAAATCTCATCAAATA